GAGTCGGGGGTGGGCACCGGCTCGGCCCTGGGCCGGCGGGGAGGGCGGCGGCTGTTTCCCCCGCGCCCGGGTGAGTCCCTGAGTCCCCCCACCCGCGTGTCCCCAGGAAGAGCAGCGGGCACCACATGAACGACAAAGACAAGAGCGTCCGCCAGCGGAACGCCACCTGAGCGGGTGAGTGCCGGTGAGCCGGGGCGGCGGGCCGCTGCGGCCGCGTCTGAGAGCCCCTCCCCCGCAGGTGTGGCAGGAGGAGTCTGCGCCCCAGGAGCCCAGTGTCCCCACTCCGCGGGGCTCCCAGCCCCTCCTCATAAAGGAAGCCACCAGGCCGAGCAGACGGCGTTGTGGATTCAGATCACATGTTTTCTGTCCTCTAAAAAAGCCAGGCGAGGGTTTCTCTACACACGGGAGCCTGTGCCGCAGCGGGCGAGTTTCTCCTCCTAAGCGTGTCTCGAGCTCCAGGGGAGGGTCTCGGCCCTCCCGGCCTCTCCCGGGCTTCCATTCTCCGCACACTGCCCCTGCCCGTCCCCCAACCGCCCCAGCCGCCTGTCTCCTCAGTGCCCCCCTCGCCGTCCCTGGCATTTAGCCCCCAAGTCCACTTGTCCTGTCCGTCAAGTGTGGCTGCCACTCGGCGTCAGAGTGGCGGGGCGGCCGGCCTGCGCCCCGGCGCCCTCCCTGACGGTCCCGCCCCTTGGCCGTCACAGGCCGAGCATGTCCCACCTTCTGAAGCCAGTGCTGTTGGGAAACGTCAGGTCTGTGTTGCAGCTTGAGGCACACTAGCTACAGAGGGCGGCCCCCTCAGCGCCCCCTGACCACATGCCTGGGGTCTGGGCAACTGCAGGAGCCCCCTTTGCAGCGAGGCCTGCTTCTGCTGCTCCCTCTCCACAGCTCCCTTCCCCTCCCCCAATAAAGAGTGGCCACCTCAGTCTCCACTCCTGTCTGCACTCCTGTCTCTGCCTGGCCTGGGCCTTGAGTACCCGGAGGGCTTTACTTTTGAGGGTACAGTTGTGGGTAAGCACCCCTTGGGCTGTGGTGGCCAGTTAGGGGGTGTGAGTACCAGGGTCTGCTGAGGCCGAGTGGGGTTGGGCTGGACAGCCAAGCTGGGAGCTCTGTTCCGAAGAAAAAGGGTAAAGGGGAGGGTGATAGAGGCCC